ATTATTATAGATTAACTAATAATTCAAATAAAAGTGAAATCATTGCGATACAAGATTAATTAAATACATATTACATAACGATAAAATTCATTCGAAATACTACATAAATATTCAACTTCAACCTCTAGTATTCTCCCATAAATGATCTATTAATGCATTACGAAGTGCAAAATGAGCATCTTTGTCCTTAATTCTTCTATGTCGAGCTAAAAATTCTTGAAATCATTGATTTTCATCTACTGCCATTTCTACTGTTGGAGTTGGACCTTCCAAATCATCTTGAATTGGTGCATTAAGATCACGCTCATTCTCGATTATCATGTTGTGCAGTATAATACATATAGTCATTATACCATGTAGCACTTCTTTCTGCCAAAAACGCGAGGGTCCTGCAACAATTGCAAAACGTTGTTGCAAAACTCCGAATGCACGTTCAACATCTTTTCGGCATGATTGTTGTCTCATGCCGTCAGCTAAATAATAACCCATATTATATTCTTGTCCTTGAATAACATAATGGGCGGGAGGAGCAGTACCTGCAACAAGTTATTATGCTATTTACCATAGTTTCAATTTTTATGTATTTTAATTTAATGCATTTTCAATTGTCATATATTTCCAATTTTAATGTATTTTCATTTAATGTATTCTCAATCTTCACTTCTCAATTATAGCAACATCTAATATTTTATATTCGCACCTTTCAATTTTAGCAACATCTAATATTTTATATTTGCATCATTCATTTTTTGAGATAATTATATATTTTTTGTACAATTATAGCTTATAATAAAATTAACTTACAATTTTATACAAAAATAATAAATGCACGAAAATTAATTTATCAAAATTATACACCAAAGTTAAAATGTAAAATTAATATTATAAAGACATTACAAAAACATAATTAGGTATATATAAAGAGATAAATTAAAAGATTAAATAATAAAATAATAGTAAAAAAGTAATGAATAGTAGTGGGGAAGATGAATAGTGTACCCCAATATTTGAGGGAACACTATTCATCCCCCATTTTGGGGACAAAAATGGGGGAGGGTTGGAGCTAAATTACCCGAAAAATTATCCCTATTATGGGGAATGGGGGTAAGGTTGGAGATAGCCTCATAGGGCGTGTTACATTAATAGGAAAACTATTTAAAGATGAGGCTGTTGTGTCCTGTGATGTAGTTGCAAGTGTAGTTGTAGTAGATCTTCCGAAAAACAGGATTTGACGAGTCTCAAGTGATTACTTCCTACCAATACAGGTATCTAATAACCCACTAAAACTTATTCATATAAGATACACAATCAATTTTTTTTCCCGCTTCTAAATGAGATTCGAATTCTAGTCTCTCATAAGATCATCTTACAGAGCAATTGTTTTGTGTTTTGTTTGTTTTATCAAGTTTTAAAGGAACAAATAAGGAAACTTTTGTGGACGAGAAACATAACAAAATAACGGTTTTTAAATAGACCAAGGTGCCATCTGGATTTAGTTTAAAGAGTTTATAAAAAGAAATTAAAGACAGTTATAAGTTTTAAAGAGTTGTGCTAACATTTGTACCCCGAGTAGAGCCCATTGAGTTACATTTCTAGATTAAGGAGCTTTGCTTTTCCAAGAAAAGTCATATTTTGGAGGGACCAATATAAGAGTAATGAATACCATAGAAGACAAAAGAAAAGTGTTTGGGAGAAAGAATTCTAGGAGAAGTGGGACGTCGGGCATCTTGTGCCATCATGCAATAATTAATTCATATTTAAATGTAAGCACCAAAAAGCCCAAAAGTGTCAACATGTCATAGATAAGTCATGAGCATGAGGCACTTCTAACTTCTTTTGTGGACTCCTGGGGCTCCTGTACATGAGGACTGTATTAGGGTTAGCCTTGAGTTTTCTTTAACCAGAAGAGTTAAATATTTACCATAAATTAATTTTGCTTTTCATAAAAAAAATATAGATCTCTTCCATATTTATAGATTCCTTTCTTCTAGGAAAATATTGTGATCTCTATAAATTGAGAATTTCTCCTTCATACCCAACACATAGCATCCATAATGCAGTCTTTAAGTGTGTCTTGTTTAGGGGGAGAATCTATTCTCTCAGTAAGTTTTTCTCTCTTTATATTAGTAGATTGATGTAGGTCAATTGACCAAACCATATAAAGTATATTATTGCCTTTTTTAGTATATTCCTCTTTATCATCTGATTTATCGTCATTCAAGATTTGAATTATTATCTTTCACATGAGACCTTGTTTTTCGATCCCAATAAGTGGTATTAATTAGATCCAATGGTTTAGAGCTAATAGTTCATCGAGGTTGAAGAGAGGTTCAATGCGGGTTCAAATTAAATTGCAGCCAATTTGATAATAATGAAGATTTATATCCTCCCCCCCCCCCCCCCCCCCCCCAAAAAAAACGGTGATCCTGCTGCTGCATCTTTAAAACAAATCTATTTTTAACCCATGCTTACTTTTAACATGGACTCCAGTTTTAACCCTGCTCAGTTTAAACGTAGGGCTTTACTTTTAACCGTGCTCAATTTTAATGAACATCACTCCACTTTTAAATCCATACTCATTTTAACCATTGCAAGCATCAGTGATGAATATTATGTGAAGGTGGATCAAGTATTGTCAAGAAAATTCAGACAAAAGAAGAGAATT